CAGTTGGACAGGTGTACCTAATAAAGTGGCTGGTGAGTGTATATATATATAAAATATGTATTTCCTTCTTTTTTCCTTTTTCATCAGTTAGTTTTATTTTGAAAGAGCTGATGTTTGTTGTGTTTATTTCCCAGCAGAGGACACTGTTGCTCTAAAATCACCTGGATCAACAGGTGCAGACTGCTCCACAGCTGCAGGCTGACGATGTTTCAGGTGAGTCTTTCAACTTTTTATTTACTTATGCACTTTAATATGGTTTGACCTCATTTATTAAAGAAAACACTCATTTTTAAAAACCTTATTTAGGTCCTAAAAACACTTTATTTGCAAATTTTCTTTTGTTTTCATGTTTATTTTCAAATCTCTAWCAGAAACCAGGGTGAAAAGGTCGCTCAGTCTGAGATTTTAGGATAAATTTGTAGTTTTCCACAAACAATATTTCAGTTTTTTGTTCTCACTCCTTCTTTTTTTTTATTAAAATAACCAACCGAATGTGATTAGTTTATCAAACGGCTGCGTGTGTATTGCAGCGGAGTCCAAAAATGAAAAAAAAAAAGAGGTGGTATGTTTAATTTACCAGCGTTCCACAGGGTCAAGGAAATTGATGCAGGATAATTGGGCACACAGGGAATCGTTGGCAATTTGTGCTTTCAGACTCTACTTGAGAAATTAGATGTCAGTGCAAATGTGAAATTGCTCCTCAATGTTCTCAAAGATTCCATGAAAATTTAAATCTTAAGTATTTCCAGCAAAGGGGATTCTTTTTTTCCCCCTCTCCCCTTCATGCCAACTTGAAAACGAAGCCCTGTGAAAATGATCTGAATGAAGCAAAAAAGAGACGTCGGAGCTTGTAGAAAGTTTGCTCTCCAACAAAAAAAAAAAAAAAAAAGAATTCATTAGATTCCCTCTGACAGAAAGGAAAGTTTGAATTTGTGTAAAGATGAGTGATTATAATATTCAGGGTATGTACACCTCTTATTGTCTGCGTAGAAACRCTTGCGTCTGCTGGAAGGAGAATAAATTAAACAGGAAAGTTTCCATTTGAATAAAAAAAATTAAAGATTCCGATAAAGTGAAAAAAAAAAACCAACAACTTAAAATGTGTTGTTTTTGTGCGGCGGTCATAAGAACTTAGCCTCTGCTCCGAAGATTACTGAAAATAAATAAATCATCATCGCCSATCAAAACGCAGAAAATTCGATATTTATGCAAGATCAAAACAATCTCCTAGTTATATTTATTAAATGTAAGTGTTTATTCCTCGTGGACGATGGAGAGAGAAAAAAAAAGGAGCTAAACAAGAATATTTTTGGTTACTACATACTGACACAGTGGAAAACGGCTTCATTTGTCCTCATTAAAAGCTTAAAAGTTCATGAATAAATAATTCTTAAAAAGGGATACTCCCCCTTATTCTCCATTTTTTTTAAATCTTAGGCCTTCTTTATGCAAAATAAACTTCACTAAATAAATCTGCTCTATAAAGGCTGTTTAGAAACGRCGTCCTCCCTCCCCCCGCTTCCAGATTTAGACGGGCCGGCGTGCACCTCCGGATCACATCTTTCTGCTGGCTGTCAGTTTTGGAGGGAAAAAATTGGGCCTCCGAGAGTCGACTTAACGCAATTAAGCGAAGATGATGAGCCTTTCTCTCTCTCTCCATCCTGAATCAGTAAGCAGAACTTAAAGGCGAAAGAAGAAGAAGAAGAAAAAAGAAGAAGAAGAAGAGATGAGATGAAATGAGCGGACCGGTCCCAGCGGTTTAATTATTTTAATTATCTCTCCTC